GATTTGAGTGTTGGTTGAACTTGTAGCTGTTACACTCTGCTGGATGTCGTGAAGTCTCTCCTCTACCTCATTGAAAATCCGAATTTTGAATCGGTAAATAACTCATTTGGATACCTCGAAAATAGAAACCTGCTAGCAAAAAAGACGATGCGGGTTTAGCAGGTCTGCCGGTGAATGGGGAACGGTTTGCGCCGAATAAGGCGTGGTGCGAGTGGGCAGAGACCCACGGATGCCTTCCAGTTGGTGAGGAAGAGGATGACGACGAAGATGATACCGGGGGAAGGAATGAGAGTAGGGCGGAGGCGAGTTTCGTGGATGCCGTGCAAGAATCAGACAGTGGGCTCGACAGTGTCTCTGATGACCTTGCCTCTGCCTACAAAGTAAGTAATGCGGGCTACTCATTGGTTGTTAGCTATTTTGTGTTCTAACGAATGTTCAGACTGTTTAGTTTACAATCAGTTACCAAGTCGACTGGCCATTAGTGTTTCGGTTCATATTTGTTTGCGAGTTTGTTTGCAAAGTCGTGTGTTTGGTGAGTTATCTTCCCATCAATTAATTTTAATTTGTATTCTTTTACAGAAAGATGACAATGAAGACTTTAATTATGGTGCAGCCGTGTTCGACGAAAATGTTCTGTCATTTGCAAATATGCGGTTCTCCGTTGATTCAGAGAACGAATCACAAGTTTCACCGTCCTTTGAACGCGAATACACACTCGGATACATTGAGACCCAACGCATTCTTATTTGGCATCCTGAAGGTAGTCCCAATGCTAATACCCCCTCGGTGTTCTACTTTTGCGAGCCCCTCGGTGATGATTCTTATCGAATGGAATTTGAAGATCTTTATAACATGCTTTTGACAGGCGATGTGTTGCACTCGATGCAAAGTCATCCTGAATCAAGACAAGCATCAAGTCTATGTCCGTGGTACGATTTCTTTCAGCCTCAGCACTATTCCTATCAGTCGCACAACACTTCCGTCTCCGACCTAGCCGTATTCTTTTCTGAAAAAATGTTAACGAGGCCCATATTGACTGACGACTTTTGTCCATGGTCTCATGTAGACGGAGGAGGAATTTTGGGCATCTTGGGTGGGCTGTTTTGTGAGCGACGCCGACGGAATTGGTCTGGGCGCACATCTATGGATAACAGTGTAAGTGGCCGTGATATGGCTTTCCTGTTCAACACCAGTTTTGAGGTGGAGGATAGTGACACTAACAAGGAATTTACAGTTGACGAAGACGATGCAGAAGAGGTAAGAGATGAAGACGAGGCCTCAAAGGGGACAGTGAAACAGGTGGACTCGAATGATGTGGAAGTGAAAGCGGACGTGGAAAAATTGGAATCTAGTAGAGAAGCAGATTCAATTTTGGAAGACCATAAGACATGTGATGTTGATGGTGCTGATGAAGTGCAAAGCGACATTGCTGAAGTTGAAGTTGAGGAAGTTGCGGCTTATGATCAGATCAATGTTCCTGAAGACACGCAGTCATCTAGGTCTTCAGGAACATACGAAAGGGAACTGCCGGAATCGTATCGGTTGGGCGACAATGGATATATTACATATGAATACTTCCAGTGTGTGAAACAAATCAACATGAAAATGCAGCCACAATGGCAGTGGTTTTTCCGTCAAACACGCTGGCCTTTTCGATTCGCTCCACAGCAGAATGTTGATGTGTCTGTGCATGAGAATCGGATCCCGCCATGGCGAGCGAGTGTCGGGCGTCTGCTTTCGGATGTCTGCAATTTCTGCGCGAGAAATCGGCAAATGCAAAATCTCATTCTTCTCGATCCCATGGTAAGTTTTGTCTATGTCTGTCTTTTCATATTGCGTGTTTGTTTAACAAATGACATGCGAATGCTCTGCTTGTAATTGCAGGCTTTATCACCGCTGCTCAATCTGATGCGACACTCCACGGAACCAAAAGCCCATCTGATTGGTGTTCTGTGGATGACCCCAATTGATGCTCTTTCTCCCTTTTACCACGTCCCTATTCCTCGTCAATATGTTGAAGGTGGGGAAGAGGTGGAACGCCCATACCCGCGACCACTTTATTTGCGATTGCTCACTCTGACAGCCTTTCTGTCCAATTGGCTTGCCTGGTTCTCTCGAATTGAGACCTATTCTTCACTTGGCACGTATCGTGTTTCGCCAGCAGCTGTGTCCGACCCCGTGGCAGGATGCGTGTTGCAACCATGCAGTTTGGGTTGTGGTCAGTCTCCCCTTATTGATCTCTGGCCGCTTTGGTTGGCTCGACGACTGCTGCTCTTGCCCTTCCATCTACCTCGGCTTTGTGGCAGTCACATCTCGCGACACTTCTTTCCTTTCACTGACATCGACGTAATATGATGCTAATTACTTGATTCTTTTATTTTGGTTATGTCTCCTATTCTATTCTTTTAACTGCCTTCTTTGTCAATTATTTGTATGATACCATGCTTGCACATAATAATGATCTAATAGGCCCACTTTTTCAACCAGCTTTCTAATTTCGTTGTTATAGTTCTTCTTGTAAATCGCTATTTTTTTTCAAAATGCCAGGAGGACATGGGAGAAATGTGCATGGGCTGTGTGGTTCAGTGAGTTAGATCGATGACTTTGCATATGATTGGCTGGTCATCGTGCATGTTACACTTCTTCAGCTCACTGTGTAATTACCATCCAAAATGGGGGTGACTTGAATTGTCTTGATTGTGAGTTATTTGAATGGATGAGGAAACCCACAGTGTTTTGCTTAAAGAAAGATAATTTCTGAATAGCACTTACTAATTTTAATTAGTTTTAGTTGGTCTGAAAGTAGCCAATTATTCATGATCGCCACATCGGCTCCGACACTCAGTGCGTCTTTCTTCATGTTGTTAGGCGCCGTTGACTAAGCATCGACATCTCTGTCTCTCCCAGTCAAAATCTTCTAAAGTTGCTCCGCATGTCGGTGTTCCACCGGCTGCACTGATTAGAAACCAAGAAGGTTCCCACTTCTGGCTTTCTCCTAACTATTCGCTCGGTACTTTTGTTGATTTAGCGTGTCGTCTGTGCTACAAATCAAAGCCTTGAGCAAGTAATGAAATGCACCACCTCGGTTCTGGAGATGGTGTGAACGCCTTCCCCAAATCGCTCAGGTACTATGCGCTCAAACGCTGCAGTCAAACCAACATGAGAGTTATCTACCCGTGTCAATTGCTGGTTTCCTGAATGAACTTTCAACGATATTGTGCATGATTGTGCAATTAGGTTCGCTTAAAGCCGTGGATGGAGACCTAGTCTGCCTACGCATCATGTGAAAACACTTTTAACTTCAAGCATAGCTTTATTGAGATGAGCAAGTGTGAAGAGAGTCATCAGGCGAGCCAGACTCTCACAAAGGGAATTCACTCTACCGGTTTCTATACAACTAACATAAAGTCCCTCTCATTTAATGAAGTGCTTTGCATGGGAGCATAAAGGCTCTCAAAACCTGAAACCAATCTCCTGAGGCGTGACTTTGCTCAAAGCATCAACATCTTCTCACACCAATAGTCTTAACATGCCTGCATGAGTTCTGTCATGTTTTGTCGTGTGTGGTCTATGAACAAACAAATATACTTTCTCGTCCCACAAAAAGGCAGTCTAAAAAACCACAAAAATTCTTAGATGAAGGTTTTTAGCAATTAAAACCGAAGGTTTAGAGATAACACCTTGTGTTGCGCCAGAACATATCTTCTAGTTCTCACATTCGTTAGGTAGCTGTCACTTCTGCTATTGCCTCTAACACCAGTGCTCAGTTGTCAGTGGTGCGCCTGTTCCATCCACAATTTTTCTAATTCCATTTTGCCATGAAGGAAGTAGGTTGTTGAAACATTTCGACAAAAAGGGATCATAACCACCAAGACCACGGAATTTCGATTAATTTTACTTTAACTTGCCCTATCAAAGATCAAAAGCCACTCGTGCTTCACGATCAAGTTGAATGTTTCGATGCAAAGTAAACGCAAGGATTTCCTGCTGTGCGATTAGGAAAACGGTTCGAAAACACCTGCTGCATCTCCAGCCCCGATGCGTTTTGGCTTTAGTCCATAAGTCAAACGTATTTAGTTTTTTCTCTACGCTACCATGTAATACTGACTCTTGATTAAACATATTGGCTGGCATTTATGTTCGGTATAGTTTGAATAGCCAGAGATTAGGACTTCGTGGACGCTTCAATGTGTAAGGGGAGCAGTATTGGCCTAGCGCAGTCAGCACGTTGAAAAATAACCAGACGATCAAGACCATGGGACTGAAGCAGCACCTAAGGCTGCATCCACATCAGAATTTATGTTTTAACGAAATCAATTTGCATAATTGATAGTTAAAAACGCAAACCTTCTGCGATGCGAGTGGTAACTAGTTATCACTAGATTGCGGAATATGTAAAAGATGTCCATAATTAATTATACAGGAATCTTACCAATGGGAAAGCACTTTGCCTAATTCCTAGACGAAGTGGCAATAATGTACAATACTTAGTGATGATCGCCAAGTATCTTTCGATGTTTTTTTCTGATAATGGCGATGGCACCTGAAGACTCGATGAGTAGTCTAGTAAAGCCATCTACTTTAAAAGAAGAATTAAAAAAAATCGGATCTTAATTTAGATATCAATATTTAATTAGTTTAATTTAGCAGATCATTTTCTATAAACAACAGAACATTCGTCTTTGCTATTCTGCCATAAAATAAAACTTTGACAGAATACCCTACGTCAGACTCGCCTAACAGCTTCAGTTTGCCTTGTCAGTCACAGTTACGTCTATCATTTTATAAATAGACTTAAATCACAAGGGTTCTTTCATTCCACCTATTCGTTTTTGCCACAATTAAACAGACGAATAGCTAAAGGTCTGGCTCAGTGTCGTTTTTACTGTTCTAGTTTTAGGCTAGTTTGATGCCCAAACGCCCTCACTAAAATGTTGTATGCAAATAAATTGAAAACGAATGAATTAACAAACTACCACATAGGTGCATGTTTTGAACGGGCAAGTGGGGGTTGAATTCAGGAATAATAGAAGACTAGCTGAGGGACTGCGCAATCTTCCACTTCTGTTCAGGCGTTCGAATACAAGCGGATGATATGGACGGCGGGCTTCTAAAGGGGGAATATTAGGAACACGAACACACGATGCGAGAGAGCAAAATGGTCACTGATGGGACGTCGGGAATCTCGAACGTAGAGCGAAATTGACACGCCAACAGTTGGGCAGGTCTACAGAGGCGAAGATATGAAAAGAGGTTGCCAGGAGCATGACATGTTGCTTGGCGTGTGTGACAGTTTTATCATTCGGATTTACCACCTTGTCATTGTAAGTATACCTCATCTAAGAAAACAATAGCAATTTTAATCTCGCTTCCATCTTCCTGTCTTTGGGTTCCAAACTTTCTTGCATAGGACTACTCACAATAATGTTATGCTTGTATTTAATCTCAAATGCGAAGACAGGTGTTATGATAACCAGTAAAATGTACCGTGCCTAAAGACCGTGAATCCATATGGATAGGTTGCTGTTGGTCTGTATCTCTTAGATAACCACATTACCGACATTGACTGCCAGAATGCAAGAAGAAAATAGTAGCTGGCACCAGATGTGTTTCATACTAGCGTGTAGAAATGCACGAAGGCGCGTGCTTAGGAAGAGAGTCAGTAATTGGTGACAAAGAGGACGATGGTAAGGAGGGGTAATATTAATAAAGCGGTTAATCCTTCTCTACTCTTACATATACTTGCAATCTGAAATGCATTGATAGTTCTGGCTACCAGTTTCCCAAAAACAGCAGTAATTTTTCCACAACTGCTGCTAATAAAACTCCTGACCTCTTACCATCGGCACTTTTCAACAATATCGATACTAACAGAAATTCAAAAATTCCACTTTGCATTGCACAACTAATATAAACACGTGTCTCAAATCATGCACAGGGTCTTCTATACACCTACGTGATACGCGGAATCTTATTCTTGGCTTTTGGTAGAAATAATTCCACAAATGCTGAATTAAGATTTTGACAGCGATTCATGGTTATTTGATGCTGTTGTTCTAACAGGTGCCAAATTTATTGCCAAAACCAAGGCAAGTCACATACATTGGGCTCCAAATAGACATTTCAGTTGTTTTGGAATCAAAACCACACAAGAAATTGAACAATTGTCAAACTAGACGAAATGTAAATCTTCACCTCTATTAGTTCTGTAAAAATTGAAAAGACACCATGGTTTACATTAGCAGAATATCGGAGCCCTCGTGTAGAATATCCGAGCCCTAGAATGAAGAAGACTGGTACAACAGAACAGGCTATGTTGACCAATCACAAGCTAGAACCACACGCCAGGCGCCGTCTATCCTAGTCCACCACGCTGGCTACCCCGCTACTCTTATATCACCTCTCAACCGCGTCAGTCTCTGGTTGGCTGAACGGGAGTGGAAAGCAACGAGACAGAGGACTGGCCGAATCTGGCGTGATCCGATATGTCTACGATCTTGTACGTCACCACACTAGTATGGAAAAATGGATACAACAGAAAGCTTTATTGACCATTGGCAAGGAAAAACCGTGGGTCAGGCGCTTGCCGTCCAAGGCCGTCAGGGTGGCTACAAAGCCCACTTTTTCCTGCTTCTTCTCACTCCTTGCCTCTGGTTGTCTACAGATTTTTAATCGCAGACCATTTGAACGCAAACAGACAGCGAATTGGTTGAGTTCTGCATAGTTAAATATGTCTGAGCCCTTGTTATTCACTACACATAATTGACTGACACTTCTGGTTGGTCTGCCTCAGTAAGCGTTCTCAATTTGCAATCTATCTCTTTATTTTGCCCTATCAGCAAAAATAGACAGTTCTCGTCAATTCACTCATGTGCAGAAACCGGCTATGGCAAGAACTACTCATCTGACGTGTCTCCAGTTCATCAGATTTGAAGTCGCCGTCTTCATTTCCAACGATGAGTTGAATTTGGATGTCTTGTCCCATGTTGACAAAACCCTTTCGACTCATGAATACTTTGTACGTGAAATGTCTGCACGTCGACGCTCGTCGTAGCTGCATTTGATTGCGCAACACCTACAGGGACAAACTATCGTGAAAACGTACTTCACATAAGCAATAATGATTGGAAAATTCATTTCACATTTGTGCGATAACGGTGGCATTTCAAATGAGAATAATGCGTTAGTTGTGATTGTATTTGATAGTAGTGAATTATCGTTGACTGACGATTGCCAGCGACTACTCCAAACAGATATTCCGTAACAGTTACAATTTTCCGGTAATTTGCGGTGATATTGATAGCAAGTAAGTGGAATAAATTCCAACTTTGCCTTGTTAGTTCCAAAATTATGAGTGATATAAGGATTTCCAACAATGAGGTAATGTTTGTGTAATAGTGGGCGAGGTTCGTTTAGGACAAAAAAATGTGCCGTCATGACACCTGTTCGCGAGGTGATGCAACTCTGAGACTGGGATAAAAATGTTCGCTTGTGTATTTTACAAATTGGCAGACTTCAATGCTAGATACTATTACCAAGCTATTCTCAAGATACTCTTAAGCAAGCCATTTTGCTTACAGAAAATTTAAAACACTGGACAGCGCATTCTCTGAATTCAATATGAGCGTCAAGCGCGACGGCGCAGTCAACCTTTCAGCCACAAAAGCGGAGTGTGTGTATCATCCTGCCAAAGAGAATGTAAAAATTTTATCCCATGTGCGTTTTGGCATATTGAAGGGTTGTGCAGCTTTCGCAATCGGAGACTTACAGACTACCTCAAAAAGCAAGTAAACAAAAAAAGGTTTATTCTGAAAAAAATGCAGCAAAATCTAGAAAAAAATAGGCTAACATAAATTACCAAAGTCATATCTCATCCAAATCAGTAAAAGGGAAGAAGTGTCGCGAGATGTCCCTACCACTAGTTGGTGGCAAGCAGAGAAGGAGGTTCAGCAGTCTCCGAGCCATCCAAAGGGGCCACAAATCAATAAGTGGCGACTGTCCGCATCCCAAACTCCAAGGCACCAACACAAATCCCGACATGGACTCACACATTAGGGATGGCTGGTGACGAGTTACGCCCAATGACGAGTATGCCTCGATTCGAGAGAACCAGGCAAACCAGTTGGACACGAAGGCGGCCACAGTGAGGAATCGCAGATAACCTGGATGCGGATAGACGTGCTCCTCCACCTCTTCCTCCGCGTCCTCCTCTTGACGAGGAATGGGAACGCGGTAGAAGGGGGAAATGGCGTCAATTGGGGTCATCCACAGAATACCAGTCAGGTGAGCCTTTGGTTCCACGGAGTGTCGCATCAAATTGAGCAGCGGCGACAGCGGTGACAAAGCCTGCCAAAACAACATCGCATGTCAGCAGCACAGTACGAAACTAAAATGTTGAGTTTGAAGGAGGCTAGGTGTTCAAAATCAAACTACACTCTTTAACCAAAACAACAGTACGCCACGTTTCAATAGTCGATAAAAACTAAGAAAGTGGAAATTTACCATGGGGTCAAGAAGAACAAGGTTCTTCACCTCACGGTGTTCTGAACAAAATCTACTGACATCCGACAGCAGTCGTCCGGCACTCGCTCGCCAAGACGGGATTCTGATTCCATTCGTGGACAGCTCGATATTCTGTTGTGGCGCAAATCGAAGAGGCCACCTTGTCTGCCGAAACAGCCAATGCCACCGCGGAAGCAACTTAGCATTCATTAATATGGCGGCTTCATTGAAATCATTAGAACACCTCCAGGAGTATTGGGGAAGTCGAGATTCGGATGGTGTGTAGTGATAAGTTGTCAACGAAGTCGGTGACAAACCTCCATTGACGGGCATAATTTGCGTTTCAGATTCGACTTTTGGCTGCTGTTCTACTTCATCACGATCACTTTCTTCACCATCATCATCATCATCTTCGTATTGATCATCCAAATCCAATTCACTTGATTCGACAATTTGAGGTGAATATTCCAGTTCTCCATCAACAAAGCTGTCGCCTCCCATTGGAAGGCTTTCAATAAAGAGCTGAGTCAGATTTTCGCCATCATCGTCGTCAAGAGAAAAATCACTCCCGCGAGGATAGATTCCTTTTTCACAAAACAACCCACCAAAGAGGTCTAGAGTACCCCGTCCATCCAGCATGGACCACGGACAAAAGTCCGCAGTCAACGAAGGCCTCCGCGGTTCCGTGAATGTGAACAGATTGGTTAGATTGAAGACAGATTCCGTGGCCCAGGACGAGGGGTAAGAATTGTGGTAATAGTGGTACCAGGGACAAAGAGAGGAGGTTTGTCTGGATTCGGGGTGGACCTGCATGTCGAGCAAAACGTCGCCAGCGAACAGCGTGCTGTAGAGATCACCGAGTTCCCCTCGACGATCAGGGCTACCAAGGAACTCGCCGTAGTAGAATACCGACGGAGGTGAAGTTTCGTTGTTCATATTTGGGTGGCCAATGAGAATGCGCTGCGTGTTAAAGTAGATGCAAGCGTAATCCCGTGCGTAGTATGTCCAGGATGACGAGCCACTCAGAGAATCGAGAGAAAATCGAATTTTAGCGAAAGAAGGAACGGTTTCAGAGGAAGCATCCGAGAAGCGGCGATGGGCCTTCTCATCTGTCTCAACCTGTGGACAAATACAATTTAAAGTAAAGCTCACGTTAAAAATACAAAAACAACTCTAATGAATTCATTGTTTTGAAGCGGATTTGACAAACCCAACCTAAGCTGAACTCGGATTACGCAAGCGCCAATCAATGGCACTAAACACTTTGTCAGCAAGTAGCAAATTTATGCCCCATTTAGCACTCTTAGTTTACGTCAAACTACGATGCTATTGACTATTGACTTGCATCATGTGCGTAGGTGGCAACGTCAGGTAGAGACTCAATGTGGTTGTTCGGCTCCTGTTGGGCCTCCACATGCACTGCGCCTCTGGCGTCGGTTGAATCGTCTTCAACCTCTTCGTCATCAACAGGAAGGCATCCATTGGCCTCTGCCCACTCACACCAGGCTTGGTTAGGCGGGAACCGCCGCCCATTTACACGCAGACCTGCCAGCAGCCGCAATGTCTTTTTGTCAAACAGTTTCTCATCAGATGCAAAGTCGTTGTTTGCTGACTCGAAATTTGGGTGTTCAATAAGGTAGATGAGGGCCTTGATCACATCCAAAATACTGTAACAGCTAAAATATAAATTCCATAATATAATAACACATTGCCTAATGGACGCGTCGAGCAACATTGCACAACTAACTGCTTCAGTAAGTTTACGCAAGGTTATTAGAATTTACACCAAGTACAAATAGAGAAGTATAATGGCTTTGAGTAAAATTGCCAACAAAATGGTCGTTACAATTAAACAGTCGTGCAGTTCCATTCAGGTTTAAAAATGGCCCCTTGTTTATGGACATTCACAAACCGAAGTCCTCAGGTAGATGTTAACTTTTGGATAACGCAGCAATTAAGTCTCTTGTATTTATCAGAAACCTCATACCAGTCATTTGTGCGCATGACATTAAAATTTGTGACTCAATACTTCATGCTCACTTGAAGCAATACCTACCTATGCCATTCACTGAGAAGACTTAAGCAAACGCTACCATCACCAAGGTAGATATTGGGATGAAAGATTGGCGTAATGAAGTGGACATCAGGACAGGCTTTGGGATAGGACAAAGGGCAATTAATCTGTAAGGCATCAAAAAATCCAAATAAACAATAAAGATTTGCAATAGTTTGTCGGTTATGACATATACATATGTTTTTCGCGGTTCAATACTTTTTGACGTTATTTCCATTAAACTGTATTCTTCAGCGACTTGTGTAAAAGCTGTTCAGATTATCACTTCAACCGAGTAGCCACTAAAAATAAACCTCGCCGATTCGAATGTGCACAAAAGAGTAAACCCACTGTAATCTGATGAAAATATTTTGCAAGCGGAATTCAAAGAAGAAACAAAACTAGTTAGAAAAACCATGTACTACTGGATCGTACGTAAACTTTAAAAACCATTAATTTTATCCATGTTGCCATAATAAGTAAACGTGCTATGAATCTGGAAGTTGTGCTTGACTCTAAATTCCATGTAATCGCAAGTTACGAGGCGGTCTGCATGGTCAGCACGTGCTGCTTCCACAAACAATCAAAGAGCATAGTTGTAATTTGTACAACACATATTTTGTCATGGTATATTTCAAAAACACTTACATTGACAATAAACGCGGCGTGTGCGTTGAGACCAAATTTGGGATTCAACGACACAATCACTGACAATTCATTCACGGACACTATGGAGGCTTGACCGTCAGTTGAGGTGTCAATCGTGCGATAAAGTTGCTGGACATCCTTGAAAAATGAACGCTGACCCGTTGAATGAGACATTCTGCGAAAAAACCGTGGATGGGCCAATAAGTTGCTTGGATGGGCACAGGAACGTAGTCACGGCTTATCTGAATAGTTGAAACACTACATTAAACTTTTATTCAAACCTATGGTACAAAAAGACCAAGTTATTTAAATGCCGATGGGTCCTTATGTAAAAATGCTATCCAAGCTAAATGCGACTATGATTTACTGGTGGTAAATGCATTATTGAGGATACAAATATTATAATAAAGCCAAACAATGTATCACAAAATCGAAAAAACCCTAGGATCAAAATTATGCATCTAATATACAATGTTTACCTTTGAGCTGATGATCGATTTTGTCAAGTAAACTTAATTATTTGGTACGCCGAATACTCAACTAGTCAACGTACTTGAAAGAGTACATTATTCAGGAATTTTCAACATGTAAAATGAACATCAGCATATGACTTAACTGACTTACAACCAATTGTCTCTACCTTATTCAGGTAAATGACAAGACAGACGGAACTACCACAGCCACACTTTTACACCGCTTACGAATTCCGCGGAGTGGGGTCAAGGTTAACTAGAAGCAATCCAATCTCAGCGACATTTCGCAGTGTTTGAAGAGTGGGTTCACAGAGAAAATTAAATATGTATAGTATACATTGGCGGTTTAAAACCACTGTAAATAAATTCAGTTCTTATGCAAAACTGCATTCTGATTTTCAGACCTGTCAAATTTGCATTGTTGTGAGAATGTCGAAAAAAGACATTTATTTTGTTCTAGGAAGCCTTTTTTAATGTGAATATATATTTATAGCTCACATATTTGGCTAGTTGCGTAGTAAATTACAGGTTTGATCTTTCATTTCAAAATGGGAACGTTTACTTATTGGATATGCGCACAGGGTCACAATCTTTAAGACGCTCTGGCTTTTGTGATTAAAAGCCAGTTTATTTGACAGATGCTAAACATTTACCTTAGGATGCTCTTTTTTCTATGCATATGATGCCCAATTTACCATTCAGTACCACTTAAATCGTTCCAACAAATTTCACTACCTCAGTTGTTCAGATAGCTGGCGCATTCTTTAAATAAAAACAGCAAAAATACAACAAAGTAAGGCCGAAGAAAGCTAATTACTAACTAACGCGTAATCCTTAAGTGTTTTTGTAAGATATACCGCTGATGTTTGTCCGAGGACCGCAACTGGATTTGAATTTATGCACCCAAGCTAAGTTTGTCAATCTCCCAATTGCAGTGACAATTAAACTGTTAATTTTGTATGCTTTTAAGGTCATTATTCTTTAAGTAGCGCTCATTGCTTCTGTTCAGTTATTTTATTTTAATATCTGCAAATTAGAATTGTGTAAAATAAATCTTTGATTTATGTCCTAGTAAAACATGAAGATATTCATCACATGTACGACAAACGGTATTAATAATGTAAACACTTAGCATTATGCTAGGCAGAGCCCAAACCCCAAGACTTCTAGTTATCAACAAAGTCTCCGAACAAATTTCATAGGAACAATCAGTAAGTCAGTATTTTTAAAAAAGAGTAAAATGACAAGATAAAAAGTTCAAAGATAGGCTAATGAAGAGTGTGAACTTTCAGCAGCCTTCTAGGCTAAACCCAAATCTCAAGACTTATAGTTACAACAAAGTCTACAAACAAATGTAAATCTGTTATCAGTAGGTGAAAAGTTAAAAGTTAAGCTAACGCAGAGTGACGTTCAACTCAAAGAAGTTGCATAATAGAACTTTGCAACATTCAGGCAGAACAAAATTCACTTAAAGAATGAAGTTGTAAAAAGTAATTTTCTCTGAAAGTTTGGGTTCGTGAATGGCAATGCTTCCCAAGAATTTGAAATAAAACAATCCAGCTCTTTAAATTGAGTGGATTTTGAATGGTATTTGAATAAAAATTACATTCAAAGACTGCGACATGACTGCTTACATTTTATAATTCGGCTGATATGAAACCTTTCTCAATTCTTAACGCTCTCAGTAATGCATTCAATGAGACTTTGATCGACGTATTCTGGCTCAGATTCGAACCTACTAACCTAGCTTGAGTGATTTCTCATAGACAGAATTTTTTACTTATTTATAGTTTAATTGATATTACTATTTGACATTGGTATTTATGCTAATCTTTAAGCTAGCGAAATCTATTCATGAAGTATTTGAGGTATACTCAGATTGAATTTGCTTTTCCTAAGTGATTATGACAAAACAAGCTGACTGTGCGAACGAACAGGTTTGGTTTGCTGCTGAGTTCGAAGGCAGCTCTGATGTGAAAATAGTGTCAGAATGACTTTAATGGTTGAGGAATTCTAATTTCAACTCTTTTAAAATTTTTTCTCATTGAAGATGAAAGAAAGTACCATTCACTTCTTTTTCCTTAAATAAACACTTAAGATTAAGGTAGCGAAATGCTGATAAAACACTTTAAACAACTGCAATTCCCTCAAAACGAAGCTGTAGGTACTTACAACTTGGTAGAAGAAGCCGTGTGTCTTCGGAATTTCAGCAAATGTAAGTAGTGTAGTATTTACAGGTTGGTCATTTTAATATATCCCTTGCTTTGGTTCTGATTCCGACTGATAATTTCTCACAACTACCTCACTGTTGAATGCTGTTTACAGTGTTTAAAGTGGAAAATAACGTAAGCGCTTTTGAGTGTTCCACATCGTCTTCTTTTTTTTGTGGGATCAGCATGTCATTCCGTCCAAATAACAAAGATTTTGAAAACGTTTATTGTTTTCAAGTGGCAAAATGGGTTCCAATGTCAGATATTAACATGTAAGAAGCTAAAAATAAGTGTACAAAAGACATACTAGGAGATAACCAATTAGGATTAGAAATACGTTTATCCGCTGCAAAGCACGCACAAGCTGCTTAGACCAAACATTCAAGGAGTAGGGAGCATTAAATTTGTTGAAATACACATTCTAAGTTAGAGTTTCCTGCACAAATACACTTTGATAGAGCGCAAGATGAATTTGCCTTGTCCAGTTTTTGAGGGACTGCTGATCAACTTTAAGACTATTTGCACACATCGGTGTATTTTTGAAGCCAACAAGAATATAAACAGCAAAACTGGAATGTGTGCACGGGAGGAAACAGGGACGAGAAATCAAATTTCTATTAGCTTGCCCCTTTGAATTCTTTTCACCAGACGTCATGTGACTTGGTTGGACTCAGAACTGTTTTTAGATATACACACGCACACATCTCAAATTCTAATTTTAAAATGAAGCGGTCAATCAAGCTGGATAATGTCAAAAACCACTTATACCAACAAATAAAAGTCCGTACTAAACTTTAAGTAGTAATAATGTGATTTCATAAAGTCCAACCAAAAATTGTTTAGCAAATATTAAGCAGGAATGTCGTCTCAAGGGTCTTTGAATTTTACCTTGATTTTTAGTTTTGAACATGAGTGGCGAAGTTACGTCTAGATAACTTGTGTAGTCCTAATCTTTGGTAGAGTGGTTAAATCGTATTCAACGCGTTCGCCCAATATAAACAAACATTTCACTATTGTCTTTCAACATAATGTAATTGGGTTATGAAATTTGTGGCATAAGCACTTTGGTCCACATAATTTTGTAGTCCTGGACAGCGAGATGACAAATAGAATAGATAAACTACACGTTTAATTGTCCTCGTACACACCATGCATGCTGTCAGACATTGGGACAAACACGTAAGATTGGCTAAACTCATGCCCACGGTAAACCGTTAGAATTCAAATGCCCTCATTTGAGAAGAGTTTGTGATGACGTGGGAACGGGAATTTGTGCCTGTTTAGAAGACTTCAGTAAGCTACAAGCGATCAACTTCCCTAAAAAACGACTGTTTCTAATAGTTCTTTTTATATTTTTTTACTTTTATGCATAGTAACATAGTGTGCACGTGGGATGAGTCGCTTTTTTACACTGAACGATGTAGCCAGGAACGCCAAAGCTGACTGAGGCGATCGTAGGTGTCTCACTAATGGTATTCCAAAATGCCACTTACATCGAACACACTTTATTCAATTTCACCGAAATTCTTCTCACCATATCTGCTGGCAACCATAGCCAACGGGATTTAAGCCCTCATGGTCGACTCACGGACTGCGAATGCGGTATTTCAAGGTCAGAAACAAGGTCTGAATCATGGACATACACGCAATTGCTTGGAGTTTCGAGCAATTTATCAACCGCATTTGCACTAAGTGCCCAAATATGCACTCATCACCAATCTTCCGTCCCAATATCGACAACGCACCTGCGAAGTTTACTAAATCGTCTTAATGAATGGCTTATGTGCGTGTCCGATATTAATCTCCAATAAATGCAGAAACGTTGTAAATTGGCATTCTAACTGATCCTGCGTAAAAATATTTCATTTGAGTCTACTGCTGTGTATATTGTGTGGGTTTGAATTAGTCAGCACTGAGCTTGTTTAGAATAAAATTATAATTACCTGCCGGAATGTGTTAAATGTCCGTGTTGGTTGAACTTGCAGATGTTTTAGTCTGTTAGACGTAAATATGCTCTTATTTAATTCATCGACAATCCGAATTTGGCTTTGTCAAGCAACACATTTGGGTAGCTGGAGAACAGAGTCATTCTTGCGAAGAAGACAATATAGGTATTGGCTGGTCTGCTTGCGTATGTTTGACGGTTTGTGTCGAAACCAAGTCTGGTGCGAGTGGGCAGAGACCAATGCATGTCGTCCAGTGAATGAGGAAGAGGATGACGGCGATGATGATGCAAATGATGCGGTAGATGCTGTGTAAGAAATAGACGCATCGATTGACGCCAGCCTGTGTTGTCACTGCCTCTGCGCTCACTGTCCGTGAAGTGTGCTGCCTAGTGAAGGCCTTACTACTAACTAGATCTAGGATCGGTCAGCTGTGTTCACTTGAGGTTTGCAATTGCTGCAGGAAGTAATTTGATGCATTGACCGGTTGCCACAAGGATTCGTCTGTCAGAAGTTTGAAATCAGATTCACCACAAATCATTTCCGAATCTCGTTAATGTAAATATTTGCAGCTTGTGCCCCAAAGGACAACTATTAAGGCTTCTACAAGACTGTAGCTGCACCAATTGGTCGTGGCATGCCACCGTACCCAAGTCTGAGCTTACGAATTTGCAATCCGTTTTTAGTAGTTAACAAAAACCATTTCATAGAAACGTATCCACTAATTGCTTATTTTCAGTTGCAGGTAGATGACAGTGTAGAATGGGAAGGTGACACAGCCATGTTTGACTAAAATGTTGTTTCCTTGGCTAATCTTTGATTTCTTGATGACTTAAACATCGAATCGCAAGTACCGCTTCCGCATTTGCCAAAATATGCATCATTGATTAATGAACACGGGGTAGTTGTGGTCAAGTGCTTGAACTAAGATTCAAGTCACAGAATCCTGCTCATGTCCATGCAATGTGAGGAGCAGTGGACCTACAGTGTAGAGTGTTGACAAGCTTTCCTCATTGACTTTTGATTTTTAGACTGGTTTATTGTCTACCATCATCAAGTGGTAGAGATGGCTTGCGGTATTTCACATTTCACAAAAAGTCAATCTTAAAGTGTGAGCAAGGAAATAATGCCAGTTTGGCTTTGGACACTACATGACACAGGACAATCGAATTCTTGCAAACACTCTAGGGCTGATTATGTGACAAGATGGTGTTGTTTTCAGCCAAGACGTGCCTCAGGAGATATTCCAAAGTTATGCATAAGAAGTTTACGCGTGTAAGGATAGGTTGATATGTTGTGTTTTGCCGTGGCTACGCTAAATTCACACCATTAGGCTCGTAAGGTTGCACCATCACTTGTAATATTATTGCAAATTCATTTACAGTACATTTGGGGAAGCCGGAATTTTGCACATTTAAATCATGCTCATGTTGATTTCCCCGTAGTCTTTCGCGTATAGACCTCAGTAGAACTTTGCTTGGAGAAGCAGCAAGACGCCAACCTCGCAGTAAGTCGCAGTAAACTGTCACACGTGAGTCGGTTACAGTGATAATATTGGCAAAAAAACGGGACCGTCATGGATGCGCGCAGACGAGTGGTTCACAGGTGGTGGTGGTGGTGGTGGTGGCCAGAGGGTTGTCTGTACTAAGGAATTTAACATACCCGGATTACGCAATATGGAAATCTTGATGTGACTTTGATTCGGCGCATGAAACCTAACGCCACGTACACTACCCTTGTGATATTTAACAAAGCGTACGGTTATAACCGTCGTGTGAGTTGAATCTAATGCGATCAGACATGTACTTGATACCACAGGGCGCAAATTATGGCCCCGTTTTACCAACGATATCGCTTTTAGCATGACCACCGCGATAACTTTGAAATCCTTCGTTTGTATGTGTGAATGCTTGTGTGAAGTTCGGAAATTGCTGGAATAGTTCAACAGCACGTAGCGTAAAATCATGCAACGTGGGAACAGATCGATGAAACTGGCTGACACACTTCAGATGTCGATGTTTTGGGACAAATGTGCAATGGCGTTCTCATGTCAATGCAAGTATGGTGGGTTCCATACTAGCCAATTTACTAAAAGAAGTAACGATGTTCATTTCAAATTTGTCAGTGGTAGGAAACGGAGACAGCGTTTAAAAGCTGATTAACATCTCCGCATTCGATAAATTTTGATCTAGGCAGAGAATCCGTTAACATCAAAGTTGACCAATGTGCTTGGTCGTGACGAGAGTTTTCATCTATCTCGCGGTAAGTCCCAAGTTTTCTACCACCAAATGTGTTGGAAATGAGAAGAGGCCAACGCATGTTTATCTGCATTCAAAAAATTGGAACAAGGTGTTTACTTAGGTACAGGTTTACAGGCGCCTACATTATGAGCGCTGAGTTATTGTTTAACTAGTCTGGTTAATTTCCTAAATGCCACTTTGCAAATATGTAAAAGCATTGACCATAGCACCTAGCGACACCAGTTAAGCACAGATTTTAACTCATTGTTTGCAATGTCGATAATTAACTGTTTATCATTACTTGCTGTAAGCAAGCAACGTAAATCCACAAATGTCACCCCAAGTGGTGGTTCATTTTTATACCTAAGATGTAATGTGACTATCACTGATTAAAATTTGCAGTGCTTACGGAGAAATGTGACAAATTCATGAACGCCTGTTAATGTGACAGTTTTACTGTCACAAGCATGGACAATGAATTAATGGACACACCGCACCTCCAGTCAGCACAATGTCGCAAATTTTCGTCTTGACTGCACAGGAATTACGATGGCGCGGTCAATAATCTTGCGGGGCAGCGCGACACCTGCCGTATTCTGAGGTGATTGAATCCCTGCTTTCGTTCCTTCTCCTAGCCCGCTAATTTTGTTCTGATTTTTGATTGACTAGATTAATTGATTCTACTGCGACGGAAACTGGACGATCAGCAAGTTCCACTGTCATGCCGATATGACAACTGATGAGAGAGACCAAACTGGAAGGGAAATAGTGTGACAGCACCAAATTCATACGAGTCCATAGAATATCTGCGGCATTCAGTGTCAGTGGGAGGCAGACTTCAGTTGGTTATTAAAGACGAAGACTGCACGTGTCATCATGTTTGCAAACAACTCACAAGCAGTCGTACCAAGTCAAACGAATTTGTGGGTGATTGTTCTACTGCGTTATTTCTAATTAAAGCAAAGGATGAGCTTCGAAATATGTGCAAAGGCGATGGTCTGATCTAGCAAATCTCATAATGCCAGCGTACTTACTTGCCTAGTTTTTATATTTCAAACGTTCCAGTAAAAATCACAACAAACCCACAACGACAGTGGCAAATCTGAACTTTTTTTACACATGTGTACAATCAGAATGCTAAAACAAATATGTAACAAATCAGCCAGTTTCAAAGGTAAAGTAACTGACATAAAAAATCGAAAAATCAATTGGCATCATGTTTTGTCCAAATAAGTAACGGTAAAGAATTTTGTCAAGATGCCCCTGCCACAAAGTTGAGATACATTAAACGGAAGAAGTAACAGTCACTGGGCCAATTAAATCGACCTCAGTTTGATGACTTGAGATTACCCATATTACACAGTTCATTGTCTTAACACTAATCCGACAGCAGGGTGGTACATGAGTTCAGGTGGAACGCGAGATCTGCTCAATGACGAGTAGGCCTAGATTCAGGGAAACAGACTAGCTCTTTGGACAGGAGGGCTGTCAGAGTGAGTAATCGTGATTGAAACTACGCCAGACATTGTTACACTAGCTGCAGACTGGGGTGACTGAAGCCCCAGTTTGCTTCACTCTGCTTCACGCGGCAAGTTCCGTTTTTTTGTTCGCACAAAGGTCCATTCTACTAAGTGAGACAGCTGCTAAGTGGACGAGCTACTGAAACACCAACCAGTAAGTCACACTGGCAGACCGGCATGTTCGCAGACGAGGGGCACCAGCCTGGATGGACTGAGGTGCTGCAATTTCCGTTACATTCTAACTCTTTAATCATCCATGGCATACACTTTATGCGTACCGCAGAGACTGACACAGCTGATTTGATCTCAGCTGGTTCTTGAGAAGAAACACTGCACGTATTTGTACCTTCGCAAATAACAAACAAAATAATTCAGTTCACTGCAGGTGTGAGTGACTGGTCCATTGAATACATTTTGGAGCTTATCGTAAATGCAAAACAAACCCAGAACGATAATTGCCAGTTTGGGTGTTTTTTATGATGCATATGTAGAAGTACAAAATCATAAATAAAAGACCTGTCAGTAAAAAAGTAGAGCAAGTGATTTAGCAAAAATAGATAAATAAGGTGACTGGAATTATATTCCATCCACGTCAGTGAATGCAAAGAAATGTAGCGAGATGTGCCTGCCAAACAGTCGAGGTAAATGAAAGGGCAAGAGTAGCAGTCGTCGGGCCAACCAAAGCGGCCAGAGATCAATAAGGGGAGACTGACCACAACCCAAACTGCATGGTTGCAACACGCATCCTGCCACTGGGTCGGACACGGCTGCTGGCGGAACACGAGACATGCCCAGTGACGAATAGGTCTCAATTCGAGAGAACCAGGCAAGCCAATTGGACAGAAAGGCTGTCAGAGTGAGCAATCGCAAATAAAGTGGTCGCGGGTATGGGCGTTCCACCTCTTCCCCACCTTCAACATATTGACGAGGAATAGGGACGTGGTGAAAGGGAGAAAGAGCATCAACTGGGGTCATCCACAGAACACCAATTAGGTGGGCTTTTGGTTCCGTGGAGTGTCGCATCAGATTTAGCAGTGGCGAAAGCGGTGAAATCGCCTGTAAATAGAATCATAGCATTTGATATTCAAGACACGCCGAAGACGCACAATCTCCTAATTAGCATTCGTTTGAAAATTCTCGTATGACCACTGTTACCTAAAGCAAATTGACCTGCACAGACATCAATGAATCAAGAAGCAGCACACACCACTTACCATGGGATCGAGAAGAATGAGATTTTGCATTTGGCGGTTTTGTTTACAAAAATTGCAGACATCCAAAAGCAGACGCCCGACACTCGCTCGCCATGGCGGGATCCGATTCCCATGCACAGACACATCAACTTTCTGCTGTGGAGCGAATCGGAAAGGCCAACGTGTCTGACAAAAAAACCAATGCCACTGTGGCTGCATTTACATGTTGATTTGTTTCACACACTGTAAGTATGCATACGTTATATATCCATCGTCGTCAAAGTCATCCGAATCTGGCTCTTCTCCTTGATATGTGTCTGAAGACCTCGATGACTGCGTGTCTTCAGGAACATTGACCTGCTCGTGAGATGTAACTTCCTCAACTTCAACTTCAGCAATGTCGCTTTGCACTTCATCAGCACCATCAACATCACTTGTTCTGTAGTCTTCCAAAGTTGAATCTGCTTCTCCACTAGATTCCGAATTTTCCACATTCTCCTTCACTTCCACCTCATTCGCGTTGACCTGCTTCTGTATCTCAGCCGCATCATATTCTGCCATCTCTTTTACGGCCCCTTCTTCTACTTCTTCTTCTTTAAAATCATCATTTTCTTGTTCTTCATCTTCTTCGCCCTCTTCATCTTCTGCTTCATCTTCTTCTTCGTCAACTCTACATTCTTTGTTAGTGTCACTATCCTCCACTTCAAAACTGGTGTTGAAGAGGAAAGCCATATCATGGCCACTTACACTGTTTTCCACAGATGTGCTCGCAGTCCAATTTCGTCGTCGCCGTCGTCGTCGTCGCCTACCAAACAGCCCACCCAAGATGCCCCAAATACCTCCTCCGTTTACATGAGACCACGGACAGAAGTAGTCGGTCAATATGGGCCTCGTCAACATTTTTTCAGAAAAGAAGACGGCTAGGTCGGAGACAGATGTGATACTCGACTGATAGGAATAATGCTCATGATGATAGAAATTGTACCACGGACAGAGACTCGATGTTTGTCTCGATTCAGGATGACTTTGCATCGAGTGCAACACATTGCCAGTGAGAAGTGTGTTGTAGAGATCGTGGAATTTCCTCCGATAAGAATAATTACCAAGGGGCTCGCAGAAGTAGAACACCGAGGGGATATTGCTATTGTGACTACTAGCCGGAGGCCAAATAAGAATTTGCTGGGTCTCAAAAAATCCTTCTGTGTGTTCGATTTCAAAGGGCGGCAGAACTTGTGATTCAGTCTCCGAAGCTACGACAAATCGCATATTTGCAAATGAGAGAACATTCTCGTA